AAAAAAAAAAAAAATCGCAGCCCCCCCCCCCCTTTTTCAACCCCGTGCTGCGCCCGCCTTCGTGCACCGCTGCCAGCAGCCTCCCCCCCTCGGCCCCTCAGCTTCTCCGCGAGAGAAAATAACCCAAAAAGCAGCCAAAAATCCCCCCCTGCCTGCGGCCCCTTCCTTCGGGGGCTGCCAAACCCCTTCCCCAGCTCTTCCCTGAGGTTGGGGGAAGCTCGGGTAGCCCAAAGGGATGGATGAGGCAGGAGGGGGACAGGGAGGGGGGTCCAAGGATTGCAGGTGGCCACGGAGGGGACGCGGGGACATCGCCCGTCTGCAGCCACGTGGAGGGCCCAGAGCAGCTCGAGGGGATGTGGGGATGCAGTTTGGCACCACAGGACCTTAGAGCCTACTCCCCCCCCCATCCCCTCCCCATGGCCTCCTGCCAGCCCGGGCCGGGGGGGCCCCATGGTACTACGGCGGCCAAGAAAGCTTTTTGTGGCACATCAATAATTCAGGGCTTCCCGACCCCCCCAAGCCTGGCGGAGGGCTTCTCTATTATTGATGCCCTGCAGCTTGGGGGGGTGGGGGGGACACAGCTTGGCACACAGTGCAGCACACGTACAGCACCCCCAGCCCCGTGCCCACGCGTGTTACCACCACCCCCACCCCACTGTGGGCACCTCGCACGTGGCGGGGGGAAGGGGGGGGGCCTCCCTAATGCCCTCCCAGCAGCGATTGCATCAGCCGTGGGCACGCGTGGGGCTTGCACACACGTGTGGCAGAGCCTCGGGGACACACGTGGGTACTTGGGGGGGGTCCCTAAGGTCATCACATGTGGGCACGTGGAGAGCACACACTTCAGAACGCACTGCGGGACACGCAGAGCACGCAGCTGCCACGTGTGCACACTGCTCCGTTACATACATGTGCACACTGCTCCGTTACATACATGTGCACACTGCTCCGTTACATACATGTGCACACCCGGTACATAAAGTGCATCCATGAGTGCTGCCATGCCCTGCAGCACAGGGCACAGAGCTGCTGAGGGGTTTGGGCAGAGCAGGGAGGGTTCGGTGTACAGAGGGGGAAGGATGATGGGTATGGGGGTGCTGCTCCTATTTCCTCCTGTGTTTTGGAGAGAAAATGGCCACGGGCACTTTGTGCTGCCTGGTTTTGTCTGGCCGTGTGCTCGTTCACCCTACTGAGGGCTGCGAGGCAGGCAGGATGCCCCATAGAGCGCTGCTGCAAGCCCTATAGGATGCTGGGAGATGGGCAGAATGCCCCATAGAGCGGGCTATGAGGTGGGTTTAATGCCCCATGAGGGGGCTGGTATCGCATTGCATGAGGGCAGAAAGCAGCTTAGTACAGGGACCACCCTTTGCCCACCTCTGTGGTACCACAACAGCGCACAGAGTGCCCGGATTTGCCCTACAGGAGCGGCACGTGGGGCACATCCCTGCTATGGGGTGGCGAGGGCACATTCCCAGAGCTGTGGGTTCACTGAGAAGCAGTGATGGGAGCCGAGCTTGGGGTGCCCACAGTAAACCAGCAGGGCCCGGCGGGAACAGCTGCTTTACGTGCCAAAATCCATGCCAAAACCCCATGGAATGGCCCCAAAACCGCCCAGAAACAGCCAGAGGGATGGGAGAGATGGGCGCACACGCGTGTGCAGGTGCTCACAAACGTACAAGGGGCACACATGAGCGTGCAATGCTTGCGTGCAAGGGGGGAAAATGAAGCCGTGCCACAGGGCCGCAGCACTGCAGATGTGCAAATAACCATGCCCAGGTGTGCCCTTGCTGCAGCACAGTGGGCAGGGGCACACGCATGTGCAATGCTGCACTCCTGGCGCGTGCACACGCGTGTGCGGGGCGGGCGCCGAAGCTGCGAGAAGCGCCTCTGGCTGCTGGCCCAGACAAAACCGGCCGCCAAAACCGCCCCGAAAAGCGGGAGAAAAGGGCAAAGGGAAGGGAGGGTGTGTGGGGGGGGGGGAGGGTTGAGGGGGCAAAGCTAAGTGAGCCCCGAATGTGCTGCAGGAAATAGGGGGTGCAGGAGACTGGGGGGGAGGGGGGTGGCTGGAGGAGCCCCCACTGCAGTGACAGCCCCGGGTTGGGGTTATTATGGGGGGTAATTAATGGGATTTGTATTCTCCGCAGGACCGAGCCTGGAACCCCTCCAGCGCTGCGTGTCCCTCTGCCCTATGGACCCCTCCCCTGCTATTGGGGCACCTCTGACTCCACTCCCACCTCCGGACGGAGCCCCCCCCACCTCCCCGCAAAAAATAAAAAAAGTCTGGGAATCCCCGCTACGATC